AAGTATTTTCTGTTGGTCATGGGGGTTCTGTGTGCCAAGATTGGTACAATTTCATTGTTGGTGGGGTTCAGAATGCTTTGATTGTAGGTGAACTATAAATCCCAGCAACTACAACTCCCAAATGTCAAGGTCTATTTTCCCCAAACTCCACCAGTGTTCACATTTGGGCAGATTGAGTATTCGTGCCAAGTTTGGTCCAGATCCATCATTGTTTGAGTCCACAGTGCTCTCTGGATGTAGGTGAACTACAACTCCCAAACTCAAGGTCAATGCCCAAAACTCAGTTTTCTGTTGGTCATGGGAGTCCTGTGTGCCACATTTGTTTCAATTCCATCATTGGTGGAGTTCGGAATACTCTTTGATTGTAAGTAAATTATAAATCCCAGTAACTACAACTCCCAAATGTCAAAGTCTATTTCCCCCAAACTCCACCAGTGTTCATATTGAGTATTCATGCCAAGTTTGGTCCAGATCCATCATTGTTTGAGTCTACATTGTTCTCTGGATGTAGGAGAACTACAACTCCCAAACCCAAGGTCAATGCCCATCAATGCCCATGTTGGTCATGGGAGTCCTGTGTGCCACATTTGGTTCAATTCCATCATTGGTGGAGTTCAGAATACTCTTTGATTGTAAGTAAATTATAAATCCCAGTAACTACAACTCCCAAATGTCAAAGTCTATTTCCCCCAAACTCCACCAGTGTTCATATTGAGTATTCATGCCAAGTTTGGTCCAGATCCATCATTGTTTGAGTCTACATTGTTGGTCAATACCCACCAAACCCTTCCAGTATTTTGTGTGGGTCATGGGAGTTTTGTGTGCCAAGTTTGGTTCCATTCCATCATTGGTGGAGTTCAGAATGCTCTTTGATTGTAGGTGAACTATAAATCCCAGCAACTACGACTCCCAAATGACAAAATCAATTTTTGTGAATGATGGTCACTCCTTGGGTCAGTAGGTGTTTGGTGGCCAAATTTGGTGGCAATTCCATCTCTCTCTCTCTCTTTCTCCATCTTCTGTCTGTCTAACAACATTGGATCTGATGTCCTTTGGGGTCCCTCCCTTCCAACCCTTGGGTTCTATAATGCCCTTTTCTTTGTCCACCTCTGTCCAGGTTGTGCATCTGCCACCGGAAATGGGCCCCTGTGTTCGGACAACGTGGACTCAGAGGGCCCCGGCTGCCCCCACAGAAAGAAGGCGGCCACGCTCCTGCCCTCCTTCACCGAGACGACCTCCACAACCATGATGCCCACCACGTCGACAACACATCACAACATGACCAATCACACCACCACCACTAGGCCCCCCACGCCGGCACCCACCACCCCCACCCACCACACCACTGTCAACGCCTCGCACCATACCACGCTCCGCAGCCACTCCACGGCCCGCCCTCAGAAACACACCACTCCACACCACCACCGAAGGCATACCACCACCGCTCACCACAAACACCACACCACCACGGATCACCATCCCCATCCCACCACTTCGACACACCATACCACGACCAGCCACCAAAATGGTACCACATCCCACCGGCCTCATCCTACCCCTTCGCCCCATCACACCACGACCCGCCATCATAACCTTACCACTGCTCACCATCACAACTTTACCACGACTCACCCACCCCATCCCAACACCACGGCCTATCCCCACAATCATACAACGGCTCATTTCCACAACCACACCACGGCCCATCCCCATAACCATACCACGGCTCATTTCCACAACCACACCACGGCCCATCCCCATAACCATACCACGGCTCATTTCCACAACCACACCACGGCCCACCCGCTGCCCACCACGGGTAACTCACCCACCCATCACACCACGGCTGTGCTCACCACGCCGGCCCACCACACCAGCCCTCTGCCCCCAGTGCCACCCACTGTGATGCCCTTTGTGCTAGTGGGAGACTACCGCGTGGAGAACGCTTCAGAGGTCTGCCTCCGGGCCCAGATGGGGCTGCAACTCAGGGTCCGCTACACCAAGAAGGGGAAAGAGCAGGTAAGGGGGGGGGGGCTTGGGGAACGAGGGTCTGATCCCATGTGGGGCTGGCTGCAGGATGTGAAAAGATGGGAATACAAGGGCTGGGAGATCTCGGGAATTAGAATCCAATCCCTCTGGAGGGGTGACTGAGAAGACTACTACTACTACTACTACTACTACTAGTAGTAGTAGTAGTAGTAGTTCTTATATCCTATTTCCTCACTTAAGCAAGACACATGGCAGATACAACAACAACAAGTAGTAGTAGTTCCTATATCCCATTTCCCTCTCTTAAACAGGACACAAGTCAGATTCAACAACAACAACAAGTAGTAGTAGTAGTAGTCCTTTTATCCCATTTTCCTCTCTTAAACAAGACACAAGTCAGATTCAACAACAACAAGTAGTAGTAGTTCTTATATCTCATTTTCCTCTCTTAAACAAGACACAAGGCAGATTCAACAACAACAAGTAGTAGTAGTAGTTCTTATATCCCATTTTCCTCTCTTAAACAAGACATAAGTCAGATTCAACAAGAACAACAACAACAACAAGTAGTAATAGTTCTCATATCCCACTTTCCTCTCTTAAACAAGCCACAAGGCAGATTCAACAACAACAACAACAAGTAGTAGTAGTAGTAGTAGTTATTCTTATATCCCATTTCCTTCTCTTAAGCAAGACTCAAGGCAGATTCAACAACAAGTAGTAGTAGTTCTTAGATCCCCTTTTCCTCTCTTAAACAAGACACAAGGCAGATTCAACAAGTAGGAGTAGTTCTCATATCCCATTTTCCTCTCTTAAACAATACACAAGGCAGATTCAACAACAACAGGTAGTAGTTCAACCTTTCTTGAGAGTAGTGCAACCTTTCTTGAGAGATAGCTGGGGGGATTTGGGGAGCCGAAACCCCTCCCCATAGTAGTGCCTTTGGGGGATTTTGGGAGTCGGAGTCCAGGCACTCTGGAGGCAAAGAATCAAAAGATGGAGGGATTCTGGTTGGAGTTAGGGTTAGATCAGGCATGGGCCAACTTGGGCCCTCCAGGTGTTTTGGACTCCAACTCCCACAATTCCTAACAGCCTACCGGCTGTTAGGAATTGTGGGAGTTGGAGTCCAAAACACCAGGAGGGCCCAAGTTTGCCCATTTCTGGATTAGACAATGCTTTGTATCCCTCTCTCTTTACATTTCTCCCCTTCTTTCCAGGCCTGGGGGGAGTTCTCCTTGCAGCCCAACCGGACCAACGTCAACGGAACGTGCTTCGACAAGACCACGACCCTCACACTGAGTTTCCCAGAGGGCTTTGTTTTCTTCTTTTTCTCCAAGGTAATAAGGGGAGTGCTGAGATGTTTGGTGAATTGGGGTGCATCTTGACCCCACTTGAGCTCCCATGCTACGTAATTGCAACAATTGCAGCAATTGCAGCAATTGCAGTTTTGCAAGTGCCCAAAAGTGCTGATGCCTCCAAACTGCAACTCCCAGGAGTCAGTTCAAACTGCATTCACTCAGCAATGCAGATCCGTGGTGTCCAAAGTGCCCTGGGTGTGGCTGGAGACGGGAATGCGATGACGCCGGACGAAACTCTGCAGGAACCTGTTGACCCGGGAATCGAAGCCCTGAGTCATTCTCTGACTCAGGAGCCAAGCGGCAGGAAAGTCTGGCTCGGCCAAACACGCTTTCCATCTCGTCCTAGTCCCATCGCTTCCAGATTTGGCGCAGAGAGTCCCGATTCATCCTCTGCTGTCCCAGTTTCACAGCTGCTATTTATTTATTTATCGTGTCAGTGCAACCAGTCGATTATATTACATTTCTAACAGAACAAAGCAAAAAAACGCCCAGAAAAAATACAAAATTTGAGAGTTTGGTAGTTGACTAAATGTCCTTTGACCAGTATCTGACCACTTGGAGTGCTTCTGGTGTTGCCGCAAGGAGGTCCTCTATGGTGCATGTGGCAGGGCTCAGGGTGCATTGCAGCAGGTGGTCAGTGGTTGGCTCTTCTCCGCACTCGCATGTCGAGGATTCCACTTTGTGGGCCCATTTCTTGAGGTTGGCTCTGCATCTCGTGGTGCCAGAGCGCAGTCTGTTCAGCGCCTTCCAAGTCGCCCAGTCTTCTGTGTGCCCAGGGGGGAGTCTCTCATTTGGTATCAGCCATTGTTTGAGGTTCTGGGTTTGAGCCTGCCACTTTTGGACTCTCGCTTGCTGAGGTGTTCCAGCGAGTGTCTCTGTAGATCTTAGAAAACTATGTCTTGATTTAAGTCGTTGGCGTGCTGGTTGATACCCAAACAGGGGATGAGCTGGAGATGTCTCTGCCTTGGTCCTTTCACTATTGGCTGCTACTTCCCGGTGGATGTCAGGTGTATTTTCTCCAGTGGTGTAGTGCGCAGGCACCCCGTAATAATGCGGCATGTCTCATTAAGAGCCACATCCACTGTTTTAGTGTGGTGAGATGTGTTCCACACTGGGCATGAATACTCAGCAGCAGAGTAGCATAGCCAAGGGCAGATGTCTTCACTGTGTCTGGTTGTGATCCCCAGGTTGTGCCAGTCAGCTTTCGTATGATATTGTTTCTAGCACCCACTTTTTGCTTGATGTTCAGGCAGTGCTTCTTGTAGGTCAGGGCACGGTCCAGAGTGACTCCCAGGTATTTGGGTGCTATTTCAATAAAATGCTCGTATTCCTCAGGGATTGGCGCGGCCAATGTGATCATGTCATCTAACATGACTGAGAATGTAGTCCAATTTGCCTTTCTGAAGTTGAATCTTCGTTTAAATCAAACTTCCTGAGGCCTTATAGTTGGGAACAGTTGGCATACTACTGGTCGGAGCTGTGTGTTTGGGATTGGTGTTCCCACTGATTTGGAGCTGCTATTACAATGTCCCAATTTTGCTTTCCACAACCGGAGAGCTAATACTCTCAAGATCAGGATTAGGATGCAAAAGGACCTAAACAACACAAGAGAGCAGGCATCGGAGTTATAGTACTCAAGGGGTAGTTCATAATATGATAGTAGTTGGCCTCTATAGAAATAGAGTGCTGGGATGGAGAGTGGCAGCAACAGTATCCTGCCCTATATTAATTTCCGGGGAAGGGGCCTGACGCTGTTAGGAATGGTGGGAGTTGAAGTCCAAAACACCTGGAAGGCTTGGTGTAGATGCATCTGTATCTGTCTTATAGGCATCTGTATAGGTGGTCAGTTGAAACATTCACACCTAGCTCCAGCAGACAAGAGTTCTTTGTCCCACCCTGGTCATTCCACAGATATATAAACCCATTTTCCTACTTCCAACAGACCTCACTACCTCTGAGGATGCTTGCCATAGATGCAGGCGAAACGTCAGGAGAAAATGCCTCTGGAACATGGCCATATAGCCCAGAAAAACCTATAACAACCCTATGTCTTATTTGATTTGCAGTTTCCCTATCTCTATATGAAAAAGGTGCATCTGCACTGTAAAACAAATGCAGTTTGGCACAACTTGAACTGTCATGGCCTCATGCAATGGAATCCTGGAAGTTATAGTACTCAAGGGGTGGTTCATAATATGCTTGTCGTTGGCCTCTATAGAAATAGAGTGCTGGGATGGAGAGTGGCATTCTCCCCTATATTAATTTCCAGGGAAAGGGCCTGAGGCTGTTAGGAATGGTGGGAGATGGAGTCCAAAACACCTGGAGGGAGAGCCAAAGTTGGCCCAGGCCTTGTCTAGAGTAAAAGATGAGTTGGCTACAGAATTGCCCCTGTAGGAGGACACATCAGTTTACTTAAGCAATCCCTCGTTGGCCGAGTAGGATAGTCTTCCAGGATCAGTATTCTTGTGGGTCTGTAGGTGACTGTGGAGTCCTATTCTTGACCCACATCTTCTCCTGCAGTGAGGGCATTGGTTTCCAGGTGGAAGGCGGTCTCAGTCGGGGTTGGCTTGACACGCCTTCCACTTGGCATGTTTCTCTCTTTCACCCTCCATTCGTACCTCTTCAAATCCTGCAGCACTGCTGGTCACAGCTGACCTCCAGCTGGAGTGCTCAAGGGTCAGGGCTTCCCAGTTCTCAGTGTCTATGCCACAGTTTTTAAGGTTGGCTTTGAGCCCATCTTTCAATCTCCTTTCCTGTCCACCAACATTCTGTTTTCTGTTCTTGAGTTCGGAGTAGAGCAACTGCTTTGGGAGGCGGTGGTTGGGCATCCGGAGAACGTGGCCAGTCCAGCAAAGCTGATAGCGGAGGACCATCGCTTCAATGCTAGCGGTCTTTGCTTCTTCCAGCACACAAACATCAGCACATCAGTTTAGCCACCATAGCTCAAGCCTACGGGATCCTGGAAGTTGTAGTTTTGCAACTGCGTGCTTAAGCAGCTGAGGTGGAAAAGGAAAGGGCCTGGGGAATTGGAGTCCAAAACACCTGGAGGGCCAAAGTTGGCCCATGCCTGCTGTATCCTTTACACCCCTTCCTATTAAGCTAAAATAGTACCTAAGGAAAAAAAGCAATAATCCACATTTTCCCCTTACAGAATGAAACTCAAAACACCTTCTACCTGAGCCGGGTGCAGGCCAAGCTGACGTACCAGTTTCCCCAGGCAGGAGGTGAGATTTATTATTATTATTATTATTATTATTATTATTATTATTATTATTATTTATATTTATATACCACTTTTCTCAGCCCAAAGGCGACTCAATTGTTTATTTATTATTTATTTATTTACGATATTTATATGCCACACTTCTCACCCCGAAGGGGACTCAGAGCAACTTACGAGATACATACATATATATACATATACATATATATATACACACATACAATATTTTATATTATTAGCATAGTACACTATCAAGGTGGTTTACAGTTGGCAATCAAT